AGAGAGAGAGAGAGAGAGAGACATACAGACAGACAGACAGACATATTTCCACCGCATTCTGTTTACTAGAGACAAGCCCACAGCCAACCCAGATTCAAGGGGGAGAGGAATGAGAACCTGCCTCTTCATGGGGGGAGGGAGGGGGCCATATCACCATGCGAGCTTGCCATGTCCAGGAAGGTGCTGTATGCAGCAATGCATCCTGTCTGCTCACCAGTACAGTTGTAAGGGTAAGCATCCCCACTTTATGGATGAGAACATTGTGGCTGCAAGTCAGTGGTGGACCCCAGCTTAGGTCAATAGCATCCCAGTGCCTATGCTGCCACTAACCCCTTAGATTTTCTGAAAACAACAATGGCAGATCTTTCACCCATCACAGAGACTTTGGAGATATGTGTAGAGAATTTCCTTTTGGGGTGTATAACAGCCTGACCTGTTCCTAGAGTCTGTAGCTCAGGAGGTTACTAGAAGCCCTCAGGGAGGGGCTGAAGAAGAGAGAGGGCCAGTCTGTGTAACTGAGACGCAGGGGACCCCTGCACAAATGGAAGGCTGGGTTTAGTGTGAGGACTGGAGTTTAGGGGTCAAGGGTGTGCGTTAGTGATTATGATAAAAATTGCCTGTTAACATCTAGTAGGCAAGACAGTTAGGGGCAGGGGTCCCTTGCCTAAGTCAGGGCTTCTTACTTAGAGGCCTCTAAGGGTTGAGGATGGTGGCTCTCACCCCTACCCCAACCCAGAGTCTAGACAGGGGCTCAAAGCAGACCACCCACCACAAAGGAGATTTCCCTGGAATCTCCATTTTATCCTGAGATCCATGAAAATATCCATTTAATCATTCACTCCACAAATATTTATTGAACACCTACTAGGTCCCTGGCTCTGACCTAGGTATTAGGGAGACAGCAGTGAGAAAGACAGGAAAAGTCCATTTTATTTCCAGAAGTGATATTGTCTAGACACATATGTCCTAACACCTATTTGAGACAGGAAAAAAATCAAAATGTTTCCCCCCTAAAATGAGAATCCTAGAAGATTGCCAAGTTTATCCTGGGGACCCTCTGGAGGTGGGCACGTCCCTTGTTGAGGAGGCAAGAGGCCTAAGGAAACCTCCCCACATGTCCCATTGGATTCGGGCTCTAGCTATTTCCCTGCCCTTCATGGCCTACTGGGATTAGAATCCAAACCATGGCAAAAACATCTTGCCAACAGTCAACCCTTGACCAACCCTCTCACATAGTTGAAAATCCACAAAAACTTAACTACCCGTAGCCTACTGTTGACCAGCAGCCTTACTGATAGCATAAACAGTTGATGCATATTTTGTATGTTTCATGCATCATATACAGTGTTCTTACAATAAAGTAAGCTAGAGAAAAGAAAATGTTATTAAGAGAGACACAAGGCTGGGCTCGGTGGCTCAGCCTGTAATCCCAGCACTTTGGGAAGCCGAGGTGAGTGGATTGCCTGAGCCCGCAGGTTCGAGACCTGCCTGGGCAAC